TTTTGTAAATTCTCATTTTTCAATAATACGTTTTTAAAATTCATAACTGACTTTAATATTGAAACAAGTATCAAATGAAGTATCATGACAGTTTTTAAAAACTGAAAAAACCGGGGTTTTCAGGTCAAATTTTTTAATTTCTCTTTTTATGGAATTTTGCAATTTTTTATTCTCTCAATAATGTTTTTCGAAATCACCATTGAAATTCTCATTTAAACGAGTACCATGACTGATATTTTGTGAATTAAGAAAATAACGGGTCTTCCGAGCAAATTTTCTAATTTGAAATTTTTTAATTTTTTAATAATACATTTTTAAAATTCATAACTGACTTTCTGATTGAAGCAAGAATCAAAAGAAATATGATGACTGTGACCTTTTTCATAAATTAAAAAAAAACCGGTTTTTCGGGGCAAATTTAATTTTTTTCTACAATTTTGCAACTTTTTATCCATTAATAATAAGATTCTATAGTTCACAAGTGAATTTCACATTGAAACAAGTGTGAAAAGAAGTAACAAAACTGTGAACTTTTTATAAATGAAAAAAACTGGGTTTTTCGGGGCAAAATTTTTTATTTCTTTTTTCTTGCAGTTTTGCAAATTGCAACTTTTTATTTCTTTCAATAATACTTATTTTTTTTGAATTCACAAGTGAATTTCACATTGAAACTAGTATCAAATGAAGTTACGTTGACGATAACTTTCTTATGAATTATAAAGAAACCGGGTTTTTCGGGGCAAATTTTTTTATCTTCTCAATTTTTCAACATTTTATTTATCTCGATAATACGTTTTTCGAATTCAACAGTGAATTTTCTATTGAAACAAGCATCAAAACAAAAAAGAAAACTATTACTTCTGACGAATAAAGAAAATCCGGTTTTTCGGGCATTTTTTAATTTCTGCAATTTTGCAACTTGTGTTCATTTATAACTAGGTATACTAAAAAGTTACCAAAATATGCAATATCAGTAATTTAAGTAAAAAATTACATTTTTAAAAAATACAAAAACATATTTTTGATTTTAGGTACATTTTCCAAAATTCAGGGCACTTTTCAAAATTAACAAAATAGAACCTTCATGGTACACTTTTCAGTGGTAAATTTTCTTGCCATTACGAAAAAAATATATTAAAAAATAATCCTCCCTACTCCGTTTCAATAAATTGGAAAAAAAATTTTCATTGCATAATTTTTTTTTTCAAATCAAGGGGCACGGACAAAATTTTCGACGTTACTATTTCCTGTACACAATACAAGGATACTTGTGGGGGCCTGATATTCAGAGAGAGAGAGAGACGAGGCCGACTAAAGGAAGATTCATCGGGACCGGTTTTGTGTTCGGGGCCCTTTTTTAACATTCCCAAGAGAAGCCCCGTGGTGAGACGGGTGTGAAAACCGACACCCACCTACTTGTTATTTTGTCAAACACAAAACTCAGGAGAGGGGGGGGGGGCAGAAAAAAAGAGAAGAAGAGAAGTGGGGGAAATTATAGGAATCATGCCGTTCTAACCGAGCAGCAAATTACTCTCGATTGCACACACACTCCTGTTAACTACACTTTATTATAACCGTTAATTAAACGTATACGACACTAGTGTAACAATGCTACTGATTTAATAATAGACGCAGTTTCATAAATTATAGTTCAAATTAAAAAGTATTTTTTTTTTAAATTTCTTATTTTCTATATTTTTTTTATTTAAAATTAAAAGATTATTTATAATACTTACTTGCAAATTTTTTTCAATTTTACTTTTAAACACTAAAAAACACTAAAACACTAAAATTAACTCCTGTTTCGATCGTAAAGAAAATTTTTTGTCGAAAAAATAAAAACAAAAGGGACGGAAAAAATTTCGAAAATAAAAAAATACATTTTCGCGCAAATTTTCTTTTTGCAGCATGAAAAATTTGGGGTAAAAAAAATTATTATAAACGAAAATAAATTGAAAACAAGGGCAATTTTTTTCTAACAGTAAGAAATCCGCGTGAATTGATTTCCAGCGTGGAAATTTTTTTACGAACGTAAATTTAAAAAAAATATATAAAAATTGAAAAAAGTGGGAAATCAGGGTCTATTTCTACCTTCAGAGTAGAAAAATAATTAAAAATTAAATTCGAGAAAGAAATTCTTATGAAAAAATAGTGTAAAATTCTAGATATTGAAAATATGTACCTAGTTTAAAAATTTTGTTTCGGAAAAATATTTCAAAAATTAATAAAAATCGTATTTTAAGAATTAAAAAAAAAACTAACGAATGTCGGGCAATTTGTGCTGTGTTACTCGATATTTTGAGTTATACATTTTTTAGTTTTAAATAATTCTTTTCCGAAAATTAATAAATTAATAAAAAAATGTATAAAATTTAAGAGAATTAAAAAAAATTATATATAGTATTTAAGTTAAAAAAAGAATAAAAAAACATTTACCATTTTAGAAATCAGTAAACGTTCGAATTTTTTTTTTTAAATAATGATATATTGAGAAATTAATGTAACAGTGTCGCTATGTCATTAATGAAAAAAAAATCTACTTATCAATTTGTGATTTCTCTTGACGGTGCGATATGGCAACATCGTCTTTTTTATTGGGAAGAGAGGGGGTGGGGGGGGGGTTAATACTTTGTTTTCAAAAAGTATTAAAAAGTTATTACAAACGAAAATTATAGAACTTTGTTAAATTCTGCTCACTTATATGCATCCTTTTTTCTTTCTATCAGTCTGAAACATAAGAAAAAATTAAAATTGAAAAACTGAATTATATATTCACAATAAAAGAAATTGAAAATACTATAAACAAATTTTTTTTTTTAATTATTATTTAAATAAATACAAAAATTGTATATTAAATTCTTTTATTTTGGATCCTTTATTTTTGTAAAATTATTATTCTATTAAATAACATTTTTGTTTGTGAAATTATTATTATTATTATTATTATAAAATATAAATAAAATATAAAATAATTACATTCCAAATACCATCAAATGAGTCAATTATTAACAGTGGGGTAATAAGTGACAAAACATTAAATTTTTATACTTATTACCCTACAATTACTAATTGTTCTATTTGACGGTACAATAAATTTGAAAACTAAGAAATAAAAAATAATTCGAAAAATCTCACCGCTGATTGCAAACGTCAATGACCGATCTCCATCCTAGAATTTCATTCGAACCAGTTTTTTGCAGACAAACACACGCGATTTTAAAAATAATAAATTTTAAACACACTCCCGAAAAAAAATTTAAATTAAATTAAATACTTTCTGTTCAAATAATATATAGAAAATAATAATTCTTTTTTCGAAAAGAAATAAACTGGGAGGGAGATAAATTATTTAAAAACACCCTAAAATTAACGTTCGCGGTTTTAGAAAAAATACGCACTCCCGAAGCTAATACACAAAAGCAAATTCTTAGGGGGGAAAATAGGGAATTTTCGAAAAACGGATTATAAGAAAACGGTTGAAGAAAATTCATCTTCGTTTCGTTGCACTTTCTGAAAAATAAAAAAAAATCGTCCGAAATATTTATTTTACTTATATTGAATACTTAAATTACCTTTTATTAGTCAAAGAAAAATTTAATATTAATTTAACTAAAAATATAATTAAACTCAAAATTTAAATTACGTTTCTTTCTTTAACAAATTTTTTCCATCAAATTATTAAAACAAAAATGAGAATTTAAAATTACAAATTTTTTTGCTGGTCTTTATTTAGAAAAATTTTTATCGTCAAGCTTTCGTCTTTCTAGAAAAGACCTCTTCAGGTTATTCCACTTTATCAAATCAAATTTTATCATTAATTAAACATTATTAAATAATTAATTGCATAATTATATTGTAACAAATTTATTTTTAAATTATGATTTTTAAAAAATATCTAGTTTTCCAGCAAATGGTAAGATTGTCATCTACTTTATCGACAGGGAGTCACCACCAAAATTTCCCGCCTTTTTTTCAAAATACAAATTTATTATGAAATTTAAAAATAAATTCATAAAATAATTTTATTAAATCTATTATCTGTTTACTGATAATATGATTATTTTTTTAAGTTTTATTTTGAAAAATTTATATTTTCTTTAGAAGATATTTTTTTTGTTTAATTTTATACATTTACTACTTTTTTCAATTTTTACTCAAAAATGTTCAAAATTATTACTACTTAATATTTATCGGTTGTAAAATAAATTGTTAATCAAATAAAATATTTAAAATATATATACAGTAAGAAAAGCTATCCGTCAGTCATAGGAAAGTATGGGAATCGCATAAGTCTGTCTCACTCCCACTCATGGGACATGACTGACGTGGTAGGTTTTCGTACTGTATACAAAATTAAAGTTAATTTATTAATTACTTGTTGTCAACTATTAATTGAATCAAGTTAATTTGTCAACACAAATAGAGTGCAACATTTTTAAAAATTCTACCAGAAAATTTTAATTGAATAGCAAATTTTTCAAAATAACTTTTAAAATTTTCTAAATTATTCTTTTTCATCTAAAATTTACTTATTTTAATAATTATTTTAATTAAATTTCAAATTATTTGAATAATAATTATTAAAAACTATTCTTTTTCATCTATGTAAGAGTGAGAAAAGCTTCACCAGAGAGAATAAATATTAAATTTTGAAAAAGTATTTTACAAATTATTGGGGAAAAAAATGCGACAAAGCGAAATTTTAATATAAAAAATATTAAACTTTAAAAAAAAAACTTATGTGAAATTTAGTATAATTATATCAAATATCAAGAATATTAATTAAATTCTAGTATAATTTTACTAAATTTCACAAATGTTTTTTTAAAGTTTAGTATTTTTTATATAAAAAAATTACGCTTTATCGCACTTTTTCCTCAATTTGTAAAATACTTTTACAAAATTTAATAGTATTTTCTTTTTTAGTTAATTAATTTTTTTTTTTTTGGGGTTGGTGGGAATAATTTAGCAGATGGGAAAAATTGACTCATATGATGACATTCTTTTGTCTACTTTTTATTATATGATAAAGTAAAAGATGTTTTTTGTTAAATTATTTTTCAGCTTTCTTCGTTTTTGTTGATGCTTGTTGAGCCCTAATAACCTTGATGACGATTTTCTGCTCTTCAATCAAGAAGGCTCGAACGATCCTGAAGTTAAAAAAATAAGAGAGAATGATAAAAATGTATCGTTAGCAATTAATTTTTTATAACAAAATTACCATTAAAGGCTCTTCTCCTCTCACTTTTCAAAATGCGCAGAAAAAGAGAAGAAAAAAAAATCAAAGTAAAAAGGATTTTCATTTTGTTTTTCTATAATTAATGAAAAATTTTATTATTTACGTTTATTAACGTTTTATTTTAACAAATTGCTACAAGTTTAAAATAAATTATTTTTAAAATAAAACGTTAATAATCTTTTACTAATTTTCTTTTTTTACTATTTTTTTTTACTTTTTTTTTACTAATTTGTACTTTTTATAATGTAATTTCAAAATTTATAGTTTTTATTTTACTAATATTGAAAATATATATTGATTGTTGTTTATTATTAACTATTATTATTCTTATTCATATTATTATTTTTACTTCACTAGAATTATTATTCTATTGCTGGTTATTATTTTATAATTATTAGGTTGTTATTTATTTATTTTGCAATTGTTACTTTGCATACATTTTAGTTATCATTATTCTATAATTATTATTTCTATTATTAATTAAATAATTCAATAATATTCAATTAATTTTTTTTTCTTAAAAACAGAAAAAAAGAATCATTTTTATATTCTCATTTTAAAAAGAAATTAGTTGTTTCAAATTCAAAATTTAAAATAAAAAGCAAGATTAAAATAAAACGATAATTAAATAATTCAACTATCGCAATGTTTTAAAAAAATAATTAAAAAATGGCAAATATTAATTTAATACTTCCAATTATACTTTCAATTTATTTCCAATTTTGAAAAAAAATCCAATGAAAAATAAAGAAAACAAATTTGTTTTTAATTTTGTAATTTTTGTAACAGTTTTCTATTTCATTTTTTAATTATTCGTTTACTTGAATTTTTTTCTATTTTCACCGTTTTATTTTGTTGATATTAAATAAATAAATATTTAAACGAATCTATTAGAAATTTTTATATTTAAAAATAATTTTAAAGAAACAAAAAAGAGAAAAGATGGAAAATTTTTGTAAAATTTTATAATTTTTAAGTATTTTTTAATTTTTACATTCTCATCACATGAGAAAGTATTAGTTTTTTTTTAAATAGAAATAAAATTATTTTGTTTTACTATAAAATTTTACGTAAATTTACGTTTTTCATAAATAAGTAAAAAATATCTACTTTATTTGTAAATTTATATTTTTGGCAAAGAAAAGACTATTTTTAAAAATTTATATTTTTGGCAAAAGAAAAAACTATTTGCGAATTTATATTTTCATAAATAAACGGAAAAGAGATTTTTGGCTGGAAATTTGTATTTTAATAATTAAAAAAAAGCAAGAAAATCTTTTGAAATTTAGTATTTCTATAAAAAATATTTTATATTTACTTTAAAATTTACATTTTTATAGGGAAAAAATACAAAATAAAAAATGAAAGAAATTGTATATTCATTTTATGATTTAAATGTACAATTTCTTTCACAATTTTCCTTATATTTTCTCCAAGAATATAATTTTTAAAATAAATCAAGAATTTTTTTTACAGAAATACAAATTTATAAAAAAAAGATCAAATAATTTAAAGTTTATCAAATTTAGAGTGAAAAAAATACAAATTGGTCTTCCATTTTGAATTTTTTTTTTCAATCTAAATTTTATAAACTTTAAATTATTTGATCCTTTTTTTATTAATTTGTATTTCTGTAAAAAAAATTCAAAATAATCTTCCATTTTGTATTTTTTTCAATATAAATTATGAATTTTTCTTTTACGATTTAAAACGTAAAATAAAGTAAAAAATTTCAAAAAAAAAATATTTTTACCTTTCTTTAACACATTTATGGCAAAGAACACCACCGTAAACGCGCTTTACGGTCTTCTTTCTTTTGCACATTCGTGAACGTTCCATTGGACGAGCTGGTTGAATTCCTCTCAATTTATCTTTGCATTGTCCACATCTTGGGATCTTCTTTGGTTTCTTCAAATATTGATAAACCAATTTTCCACCAGGAGTTCGAACACTAAAAATTTCCAAAAACAAAAGTTAATAAAGACAAATTAGAATAAAAATTACAACAAATAAGAATAAAAAAAAACAAAAATGTTTATTTTTTTCATTCTTTTTTGAAAAAAAGATATTTTTTCATAAAAAGAAAATTATTCAATTAATCAAATTTTTTTAATGTAAAAAATCCAAAAAATATTTCGGATTTTCTCAAAGTTGCGAATATTTTTTTTCATATAAAATAACATTAATTACAAAGATTTTTTCAAGGCAAAGAATTTTTTTTACAAAAGAAAATTAAATAAAATTTTTGTGAATCTTTTTGAAAACGAAAATTATTAATTAAATACAAAAATTTTTTTATCTAAAGGACATTTTTTGTAAGAAAAAAATTAATTAGACGATTTTTTTTTTAGGTAAAGAATATTTTTCGCAAAAAGAAAATTAAAATACTTCTAGAAGTAAATATTTTCCCTTATTTTTTTACGAAATAAAGAAAATTATTTAAAAAGATTTTTCTTGTATTTATAGAATATTTTGAGCAAAAGAAAATTAAATTAAATTTTTCAATGTGAATTTTTCTTTGCAAAAGAAAATTATTAATTAGATACAAAAATTTTTCTGTCTAAAGAATATTTTTCTTTAAAAAAAAATTAAGATTTCTTTTTATACGTAAAGAATATTTTTCTCAGAAGAAAATTAAAATTTTTCTGTACAAAATATTTTTCCTATTTTTTTTTACGAAAAAAGAAATTAATTAAGAAGATTTTTTCTAAGTAAAGAATATTTTTCGCAAAAAAATTAAATAAAATTTTTCTGATTTGAAGAATTTTTTTCACTAAAGAAAATTAAAAATTTAATTGTAAAAATTAATTAAAGAGAGTCAATTATTTGCTCGAAATGTTAAATTACAACGAAGGGAGAAAAAAATTTTCTAAATTCCGATTAAGGGGACATTCCAGTTCAAAACAGGCAAAAAGAAGGCTTTTTTATTGTATATTATTAAAATAACTATGACATTTATTTAAAAAATTTCTTTTACATGTAATAAATAATTTATTTAAGAATTTGTAAAAAAAAAATTTTTCATTTTTATTTCAAAATGGCGGCGATATACGCCATTTTCGAAAATGCCCATTTTCGGTGGTACGATCGATTCCAAACTTTCTAAAACAGATAAAACCAAACACGAAGTGACATTCTCTTCGTTAGATATTTATTTAGGGGTGGAACCTCAAAAAAGTGGAATTTTCTTCCCCCCCCTTTTTTTTATAAGAGAAATTCTGAATAAAAACACTTTTTTTTTTAATATTTTGGGGAAAAAGTACTCTAAAAAAAGGGGGGGAAGAAAATTCCACTTTTTTGAGGTTCCACCCCTAAAGAAATATCTAACGAAGAGAATGTGACTTCGTTTTTGGTTTTATCTGTTTTAGAAAGTTTGGAATCGATCGTACCACCGAAAATGGGCATTTTCGAAAATGGCGTATATCGCCGCCATTTTGAAATAAAAATGAAAAATTTTTTTTTTTTACAAATTCTTAAATAAATTATTTATTACATGTAAAAGATATTTTTTAAATAAATGTCATAGTTATTTTAATAATATACACTAAAAAAGCCTTCTTTTTGCCTGTTTTGAACTGGAATGTCCCCTTAAAACGAAATAATTTCTAAAAAGTAAAAATTTAAATTGACTTAAATATTTACAAAGAGATTTGACACAATTTTATTAATTTTTTCCTTATTCGAAAATAATAAATAATTTACACAAAAAGAACAAAAGTTGTTTCACTTTTTGACAGATATTTAACGAAACATAACCTCAATTTTTTTTTGTCCAAAATGTTATTAACACAAAAAAATTAATAAATTTTCACATTTTCTACAATATTTTTCACCAATAAATTCCTTTTTTCCTCTTCTTCTTATTAAAAAAATTCAATCCACGTGGAATTTTGGCGTCGACAATTCAAAACATAACCCCAAAAAATATTGTAAAAAGCAGAACCAACAGAGTGAAAAAAATACGACTAAGAAAATTTTTATCACAAAAAAGTAGACAACAAAAAAAAGGAAAAAAGAAGGAAAAAATGAAATTGAATTTGCAAAAGAGAAAATAAAATTACTTACACTCGTCTCCTGTTGCTGTTTGTGTTGTACGACAATCGTCGTCTGTAGGTTAAACGCTGGACCATTTTGTTTCTGTAAAAAGAAAATCCAATATTTTCACAATAAATCCAAAAACTATTATTAATCCAAAATAAATGTTGACATTACGTTTAATGTGTTCTAATGCAAATTAACCTTTTAATCGCGATTAATTCAGAAAAATTCGATATTATTACGAATCATGAAAAAAATAGACACAAACCTTTCACAGAGAACACACGGAAAAGAAGGAAGTTTCGTGTATTTCTATTGCGCATGGGCGGATGATGGAAGACTTGAAATTCTTTTTTGAAAATGAGAAATGTTAAAAATCCCCCTTTTTTTTTTTTGTTTGACGGAAAAATGTATTATTTTTGTTACCGAAAAAATTTATTTTCAGTTTTAAATTACGTTCTTCTTGTTTAATCAGCAGGAATTTAGAAGAGAAAGGATAAAGATTTGGAAATATATTTAATAGAAAAGAAAATTTTCTGCTACGATTGCAGCGCCTCTGTGAGATGCCAGTGGGAACTAAGAATTGACACTCTGTCGGTAATAAAGAAAGGAATCAAATTATTTCCATTTTCTACAATATTTATTTATTTATAATTATAATTGTTTAGTACTATATTAATTTAGGTATTTTCTTCTGAATTCTCTAGTCGAAAATAGTTTTTGTCTTTAGAACAAAAATTGCTTTATAATTATAAACTTTAAGATAACTTCTTTTAAAGGTACTTCAACAATAATATACACCAGGGTTGGAACACCACAACACCAAAGAAATAGAAACTAAAAAACTTTCCTACAAAAATTCCAGCTATGAAATTTAATAAATTTTGGTTAAAAAATAAAAACGAAATAGAGAATTCTATTTAAAAATTAAATTTTATTATTCTTTCTCCTTTTATTCCAAGAATAAAGAAAAAAAAGTTGTGAAACTGCATTACCGAAGCAGGCTGACCAGAAAATAAAAATGGCAATAGTTTTAAAAAATTAAGGTGTCTTCACACACTTTATAGTGTAAAGTTCATATGTGTAACAGAAAAACGACAAATATATAAAATTTTATTATTTTTTCTTCTCTTTATGATTATTTTAAATGTAATATTATTGTAATATTACAAAAATATTAACAATTCATTTTTTTAAATATCTAATTTTTTATTTTAAATATTTAATACAATATTTTTTATATTTTTTACATTTTGATTTTTAATGTTTAATCTTTAATTTTCATATTAATTAATTTATTTTTTATAAATTAATTTTTGTACAACATTAAATTTAAAATCTATATATTAATAATCGTTATGTATTTCCGCAATATTTAAATAATTTTTAATTATTATAATTAATTATTATTACATAATTAAAACTTTTAAAATAATTTTTCTTTTTAAATGTTTTTAATTTTAAAATTAATGCACTGAAAACCATTGAATTCTTGCAAAAAAATTCTTTATAAAAAAATATGAAAATAATTGAATTCCTTCGAAGAATTTTATTATTTATGAAAATAATTGGATTCTTTCGAGAAAATGTAATTAAAATTGTATTGAAAAAAAATTTTATTCTTGGGGCAAGATTATTATTAAAATTTTTTTAAATAATTGAATTGTTTTGAAGAATTTATTTCAATTTTCTTGAAAATAATGGGTTTTATTTAAAAAAAAAAAAATGTTTACTAAAAATTTTGAAAGTAATTGAATTTTATGAAGTTTAAAAGTTTTAAAGATTCTTTTAAGTTTTTAAAATAATCATGTTTATTATTAATTGTAATTAATAATTTTTCTATTAAATTGTATTAAAATTATTCAGAGAAAATTAATTTTTTTTAAACGATTTTATTATAGTTTTTTTAAATAATTACATTTTTTTCAAAAATTTCATTAAAATTCGTAAAAATAATATAATTTTTCAAAAATAATTTTAATTGAAAATATTTTGAAAATAATTGAAATTTATCAAGAATTTTATTAAAAACTTTTTAAGAATAAATATTGAATTGTTTAGAAAAATTTTATTACAATTTTTAAAAATAATTGAATTGTTTCGAAACATTTTATTACAATTTTTAAAAATAACTCAATTGTTTAAAAAAATTGCATTGCAATTTTTAAAAATAACTAATTTTTTAGAAAAATTTTATTACAATTTTTAAAAATAATTGAATTTTTTACATAAGAATTTAACAAATTATAAAAATAATTGAAGAATTTTATCAGAATTGTTGGAAATATAATTGAATTTTTATTAAAAGTCATAAAAATAATTGAATATAAATAATATTTTTAAAAATAATTGTATTTTTAACAGAAATTTTATTAAAATTATATTGAAAATAATTAAATTCTTTTAAAACATTTTTTTATTTATGAAAATATTTTAATTTTTGCGAAGAATTTTCTTATTTATAAAAATAACTGAATTTTTAAAGAGTATTTTACAATTCATAAAAATAATTGAATTGTTTCGAAGAATTTTAACTAAATTGTTGAAAATAATTAAATTTTATATTAAAATTCTCGAAAATAATCAAATTTAATTAATATTTTTAAAAATAATTGTATATATTTTTTTGAAAAATTTTCTATTATATTATTTATATATATATATATATATATATATATATATATATATATATATATATATATATATATATATATATTATTTTATTGACGTGATGGTCTGCTTCTTGGAGAAGATTGCTCTCTTCTCCTTGATTTTGATCTTTCATAATCTTCTATTCTTTTATTGTATCGCGCTTGCTCCCTTCTGTCTTCTAGAACTAATTCATGTTTTTCGGGTGCCTGCAAATAAATTAACAAATTTTAAAAAATTTACCCATAAATTAATAAAATTAAAATAGATTTGTAATATATACAATTATTATTAATTAATTATTAATTAGTTATTATTTATTATAATAATTTATAATAATAATAATTTAAATATAATACATGTAATATAATATTAAATATAATATATATAATATAATATTAAATATAATAATAATTTGTAATAATTTATTATATTAAATTAAAAAATTTTAAAAAATGTACACATAATTAATAAAATTAAAATGTATTTGTAATAGAATTATTTTTAATTAATTATTAATTAGTTATTATTTATTTTATTTATCTTTAATTTTATTGAAACGTCTCAATTTTATAAAAATAAGAATAATCCAGAAAATTATTAGTTTAATTATAAAATTAAAATTAAAAATAATAAATATTATAAATAATAAATTAAAATTTTGGTATTTATTATTAATATTGTTTATACATTAATATAAAAAAGCGTTAAAAAGTATCAATAGTCGCGTGAGTCACGAGGCATGTTTTTTTAATTTTAAAAAAATTCTAATACATTTTTATGGCTTTGAAGGAAAAAATGATGTATTTTAAAGAAAAATAAATCTTTATAGCATTAAAAAAGTAGAATTTACAGAATTTTTGTGGATAATATATATATAAATTAATAAAATAATAATAATACCTACATCACCATAATCATTGCTCATGGGGTAACTTTTTCGGCCCGTTGTCGAAACAAGAAGAGTACAAACGAGAAGAAAATACAAAAGAAATTTAAGAGACATTTCTTACAAATTGAATTTTTTTTTTGTAATTTTCAAATGTAAACTTAATTATTTAAATATTGTAAAATAATAAAATTATTCAATTATAATCAGAATAATAATTATTTTTATTATTAATTTAAAATAATTATATGAAGATGTTCTCTCTTTTTGTATCACGTCCTTTTAAACACCGCCTTTTATACCGAGAAAAGAGAATTTATATAAAAAATAATTGAAAAGAAAATATTTTTATTATCGCATAAATATTTGCTTCTATTTTAATTAATCTGTATTTTAATTTAATACATAAAAGAAAAAAAATCATAACATTATTTTTAAAATTAAGTCACGTTTTTTTTCATTGCTGATAATAAAAAAACAAAGTAAGAAAGAAGAATGTAAAAAACTGTATTAAGATAATGAGCATTTCGACGAAAAAGCAGACATTTTTTTGTGTCCATGCGTCACGATGATTAAATATATGGTTGCATCTTTTTTTCTAATTATAATAAAAGTAAATTTTTTTCGTTAAATGATGCACTAAAAAATAAAAGAAAATTTAGAATTTAGAAAATTTAGATTTCAATTTTCTAGCATGATGTATAAAGAAAATCAATTATTTTCAATTAAATTTTACAAAATTTCAATTATTCAAAATTTTTTGCATTAATCTATGAAAAAGGAAATAAAAATTGAATGCGATAATATTTGTTTTATTACAATATGAAGCAATAAACAAGTATCCTAAAGTGAAAATAAAAAAAACTACTGTACAATTTTGAAAAAATTATTATATTGTGAGAGCACCCTTATAAGTACATTTTAATTACTAATTTATTGGTATGTAATATAAAGGCCAACGTATAATAGTTTCGTCGTTCGCATATCGCACGTAATTTCAATAAAATAAATATGCTGTTGTGTAGGCACCTTTATAATGACGCATTTTTCATTTTGTTATTGACTGTTGATTGTAATTTCAATTATAAGTCGAGGCATCACGGTCGCAAATGTGTATAATATTAATATTAAGACTAAGAAATAAAATTAAAAATTTAATATTGTGACTACACCCTTAGAAGTAAGTATTTTTTCCCATATTTTAAATAATTTCTATTATTTCCATATTTCTTTCATACACAATATAAATTTAGCGAGTCCACAATAGACAGTATTTCTTAAGTTACGCATTACTCGAGATATATTTGTCTATTGTGGACTCAACCTTAATGACATAATATTCTGAGAGCACTTTTATTAAGTAAAATTTTTTTATTACTAATTTAATAATAATAATCATTTGTTAATGAAAATATCAATTTTAGTTTAATAATAATACTATATTGTATAAGCACCTTTATAAAGTAATTTTTATTTCTGCTGTCAAAGTGCAAAGTGATATTGTGAGAGCACCCTTAGAAATATGCGTTATTTGTTTATGTTATTAGTTATTATTTATTTTAGTATTATAATGGAATTAATAACATATGTTTAATAATATAGTATTGTGGGAGCTCCCTTATAATAATTGTTTATTATATTTTTTTGTTATTAATTATTAATAATTAGTTTTGGTATGATAAGCATAAGCAAAGTGAAATCTCTATGAAAAATTGCAAAAGAGTAAAGTTTTACATGAGAAAGAAAATGATAGAAATATCTTTTGTCCTTTCTCTCCTTTCTCTCTCATGTAAAACCTCCACGATTGACATTAAAGTTTTTCATTCTGTTTAGTCACGTGTATAAAAATGAATCGAATAATATAAATTTAATAATATACTATTGTGA